CTCCTAGCCTCCTGCCCTGAGCCCCTTTTTGCCCCCAACCCTGATTCCTGCACATCCCCAATCCCCTGCCCTGAAGAACCTGAACAAGGCCAAGTGAATCTTCTAGTCAGCTTATATTTCAAAACAAAAAGTCACTTCAAACTGGAAAACCAGACTTTCTCATTTTAAGTATGTTGAAATGAAAAGCTTTGATCACTTCAAAAGCTTTGTTCAAAATGTTTTCTAGTCAAACAATCTGTCAAAACTGACCCTTTCCTGTGAAATGTTTGGATTTAGAATAATAGGCATTTTCAAAGAAAAAATGTTTTAGTGAAAAATTCCTGACCATCTCTACTCTCTAAGTCAGATTTATCCATTTTCCTAAAGTTTTCAGGAAAATACTGATTACCTTTAAATGAAGGAATTGCCTCTTTCTTTTTTAGATCATTCATTCTCTCTTCAACCAACCTCCTTCTTTCAGAGCCTCATCCCCTCCTTAGTCTTAAAGACCTATCATTAACATCCTTTTCTTTGAGTTCATGCCACTGAACGTTTACAGTTTAACAGTCCTGTGCCCATACTCTGCAGAATCAATACCGAAAAGTCCCTAATGACTTTATCTCAGGCTATGTCTACACTACAGGGTTTTTCTGGTATCCTGGAAAAACTCTGCCGCATCCAGGGAATGCGTCTGCTCTTCTGTGTTTTTTGGTTTTGGTTTTGGTTTTTTTTGCATCTACTTGGTAGATCATTGTAGTCTAGACATAGCCTCAGAGAGCTTCCTCCACCTTTAGCCTTAAACTGGTCCTGTTTCTGCTGACAAGGGAAAAATCCATCCAAAGCAGAAGGGAGACATTTTCATGGTTTTCAAGTATGGAAGAATTCAGGGATTTCAATTTGGGGGCAAGTCAGTTTGATTCAGTTATGTCATTCACTCAAAGGGGTTTGCACTGACGAAGCAGCAAAGTGCTGCAACACCTTTATGGTTTATTACAGGGGTGGGGAACCTACAGCCCTGGGACCAGATGCGGTCCCTGGGTGGTCTGAATCTGCCCTCCCCCCCAAGGCTTAGGACCTCCCCCAGCATTGGGGAGCCTACACTGGCACTCCAGCCCCCCTGCTGCCTCTTTGCAGCCTCTGGTCTCCAACTGATTTTTCTATGGCTCAGTGGCCTCTAACTCAAAAAAAGTTCCTCACCCCTGGTTTATTGTTTTTTTTCCTCTCCTAGTATTTGCCTGTTTAACAAAAGAAAATCTCAATTTTCCACTTGCCTGCCATGTCAATGGGCCTCAGCTGATATATATGGGCCTAGCTCCATTGACATAAGCTGAGGATCTGTCCTGTGGTGTCAAGGAGATAGGCATCTTCATGATTCTTAGCTTGCTATGAATGATACCGAATATA